TCAACTTTACTGGGAATCTAATAGCATATTTTGTTTTGAACTTTTATGCAAGTGGTCGATTAAGACAGGGTCTTTTATCACTGGATCTTGTACCATGTGAGGGAAAGTTTCTTTCTTTATGAATGTTAGAAGTTAATTTCGATCACTAAATCATTATGTTTGGCTCATTGATTTTGCATTTTCTATTTTAGCAACATGAGGTCTCCTTGGTGTCTAATGATCTATATTGCTGTTGGTTTCTTTGTCAATATGTAATAAGTTTGAATGATTTTGAATTTTTCTTTTAGCAATGTGAGGTCTTGGTGGTATCTGGGGATCTATATTGCTGTCTTCCTAAAAGTGAGGGTAAATGTTGACAGGGTAGACCGTAAGAAAAATCAGCTGAATCAAAGAACCTATACCTTTGGCACTGGGTTACGAGATTTATGTGTAGTCATATTGTTTGCAGATCTTGTTTGTAGTGTTCTAAATATTCGTGCATTTATGTCTTAAGGTGGTTAAGGTGGCAGATTTTGGTGTTGCTCGGTTCCAGAATGAAGAGGGGGTAATGACAGCAGAGACTGGAACATACAGATGGATGGCACCTGAGGTGTGGAAACTCTTCTATTTGTTTCGTACTTTCTTCTGGAGCTCTGGATATCTTTTGCATATATGGAGTTCCACCCATTGTTTCATGGTGGGGATAACACCTCCATTTGTTAGTCTTTTGAGATCCTGTCGTGATCTGCAGATTAGCCTGGGACTTTCTGTTTCTCCAACTATAAGAGAATCAATTTTTCTGGTGAATGATACATGAAACGTGAGAAAGAGAGGAAGCTTTACTTTGAGTTTGATTTTTGTTTTTAATTTTCTTTTCAGTCGTTTAGCTAGTTTTAGCTTATACCATCTTTGCACATGCATGCCCACACATGTGCTCAATCGATGGTAGATGTTCAACTCTGGAGGATAACCTAATGGCCTCTTATTTTCATCCATTTCACATTGTAAAAGGATCTCAGAGTTTATTTTGAAACTAAATATGTAAAAAACGTTACATATCAAGTAAATTAACTTTCATTTCTTGTTCACAAGGAAAACTTTATCCTCAAGAGTGACTCAGCAAATTCTTGATTTCAGACCTTGTTGAGTTTTGCGACATCAATCCCTTTTCTGCAATTTTCCTACTGAGAAGTTGTTTTACTTTATACAACTTGAAGCATGTAATCTCAACTAGAGCCAACCCTTATAAGACCAATTGACTTGGATTGTATAGTTCCCGTGCACTCCTGCATCTTTAGACCCATATTTTACCATCTTCCTTCATTTCAACCTCTTCAAAATTCTACATCTAACTTTTGACTAATTAAATCTGTTTCCTATCTCTTTGAAGTGCTAAGAAAAGGATAGATGGGTTAGGCAAATGCTTTGATTTTATTGGCTAGAATACAAGCTTCCTGGTGAAAACTAGTCGTTTTGTAATGACAGGACTAAACCTGCTTCCAAGGTTCCAATAGCATTGATGTCTTAATGATCCTTAATTTGTTTTTGCTGAAGGAAAAGATACCTCTATTTTATTGAGTTACCTAAATCATGCATTTTGTTAATATTTTATTCTAAGTAGTGTACTTCATCCTCTT